AGAATTCCCTTGCTTTCTCTGTCACAGGCATCGATGGCTTAACACTTTCTGCCATCGTCATCCTCATGAGGTTTAAGCTCAGCCTGTTAGATCGCTCCCATCTCTCGTATCGAGACCTTTCAGGTTCAGAGCTCTCTGCTGTAATGGCTGCTGGCTCCTCATCAGTTAGTATTGCAGAGTCCAATGCCATCACACCCAGTGTAAACCAGATCTGTTCGGACCATTCCGCAAAATTAAGCCCATTGAACTTCACGACAGAGTTTGCAGATGCAAACAAATTTGACGAAGCTACAAGCATTAATACATGCTTACTAATTAGTGCTTTCAGACTTTAATACAGATTCAAACTGTAATAAAACTTTAAAACATGAATTTAAGTAACCTTTAGGCAATACTCAAACTCAAACACTTTCATCGATGCTAAAATATTTTATCTTTATAATTAATCAAATCAAACACAAACCAAATAACATGCTACCTTTGGATATACATACTATTAATTATAGTAAGAAATGTTCAATCTTTTTTATATTACTAAATATATTCAGTGATCTACCTTTGGGTAATCTGCAAGAATATAGATAATAAATTAATTGATTAATCAAAACTTTATGTCATTTATAGCATCTCTATAATCATAATCAATTGATAAACTTTTATTAATTTTAATATTTATATGAAAATAACAAGGCCACTTTGGTGACTAACATGTTATAAACAATATAAACATTAAAATTTTAATGAGTAAAAAAAAATCTATATTATGTTAATAATTCATAACACAACTAATTATTACCCATGCACAGCGGAAACAGTTTTCTAATAAAACCAGATATTAAACTAAACCAATCAAAACCATTGGTTTAAGCCATCTCTATTTACCATAATTTAACGGCAGTGTCACTTTGATTCAGTTTATTCAAACGGTTACTTATAACTTCTAATCCTCTTAAGATGTCGTAAGAACATTAATCAAAATCAGGAATTTCATCATAACACTAACCGACACAATTTCTATGTATCATTAAGGATAGATTTCATGATTGAAATCATTAATAGTAATTCTACATTTGGTATCAGAGCCAACATACCAACTGCAAATGTGATATCTGGTCGAGTGCATGTCTGAATATAGTTCAAACTCCCAACCACTGATGCATATGGAATTCTTTCCATTTCCTTATGCTCCAATTCATTTTTAGGACATTGCATTTTACTGAACTTGTTTCTATGTATCATAACAATAAGATGCCATCATTGATCAATTCCCAGAAAACAAGAGAAATCGTAAACCCTGATTTCAAGCCGTACACCCAGATTTAGGTACTTGTTCAAATAATACATTCAATGCAAACATCACAACTGCAAACCGTAAACACAAACTTCACATTGACACTTTAAACGGACAACCATTCCTGAATACATATGAACCATCGTGACCTTTCATGGACCCATAATTTGCTTAATTATACATAGACCCTTCGAGTATATCATATGATGATCCACGTACTTATTCATGCATTCAGTTATGATACCGTAAATTTATTTCATGTTACCGTATATGAATTCGTATCAATGGGAAACCTTTACGTTCAACTTACGGTGAATTAAACAAATCTAGTTGGCTCAGCTACCAAATGTAGAATTACTATTAATGATTTCAATCATGAAATATATCCTTAATGATCTAGATTTGTTTTAATCTAACCCTAACAGTTTCTTATAGAGGAAGAAAGAAACACTAACCTTGATCCATGTTTTTCTTGGACTTGTTATGAGATCAATACTTCAATTGATCTTCTCCTCTTTAATCTCCAAACACCTTATGATCCCTTTTGATGGACAAGGAATCAAAATCCTTTCACTTTCCTTCACTTCTCCCTCACGGTTGTTTATATGTGTGTTATTGTATTTTAACGTTAGTTGCTTGGTTAAATTGTGTTACTCCTTTTATAATAGAAACACAGTTCTTAACCAAACATTACAACCTTTTGTACACACCAACACAACTTTTCATATATATCATTACAACCTTTCATATATATATATATGGAAAACTTAGAAAGGATCTTATAATAAGATAAGGTAGGAGGGTTATCAATACACCTAATTCTAATCTCTTTAATCGAAACTGATCCATCACAGTATCGTCTTTTATATTAGAATTCATAACTTTGATATTAACATGATCTTTATATTAAGCCAAAAGACACATATGTCACATATAAGAATAATTATTCTTGCTGCACCAAGCAACTTTGGTGCCTTGCAAGTACCTGAGAACCTTCTTTGCAGCTTTCCAGTGGTCCATTCCAGGATTACTTTGATATCGACCCAACATACCAACTGCAAATGTGATATCTGGTCGAGTACATGTCTGAACATAGTTCAAACTCCCAACCACTGATGCATATGGAATTCTTTCCATTTCCTTATGCTCCAATTAATTTTTAGGACATTGCATTTTACTGAACTTGTCCCCCTTCTGAATTGGAGCTATCCCTTCATAAATTCTGGTTTGATAATTCCGCTCTCACTAAGCAATTCTGCTGCTTATGCCTCCTTTTCGTGGATGCAGGTGATTTAGCCCGTGATGGGAACTGTTCTGGACCGCGGGACTAAGGCAAGGAAGAAGGATGTTAGGCTTGGGTAGACTATGGTCGAGTAGAACAATGTAATAGCTTATAGCAAACTGTATTAGCTTCTGGTTTAGCTCGGTCCCTTTAGCTGTCTTCTTTTGCACCAAAATATCACACACCAAGCAACTAACGTTAAAATACAATAACACACATATAAAAAACCGTGAGGGAGAAGTGAAGGAAAGTGAAAGGATTTTGATTCCTTGTCCATCAAAAGGGATCATAAGGTGTTTGGAGATTAAGAAGGAGAAGATCAATTGAAGTATTGATCTCATAACAAGTCCAAGAAAAACATGGATCAAGGTTAGTGTTTCTTTCTTCATCTATAAGAAACTGTTAGGGTTGGATTAAAACAAATCTAGATCATTAAGGATAGATTTCATGATTGAAATCATTAATAGTAATTCTACACAAATGACTACTTTGATTGTTTGATTCATATTAAAATTGAAGTCATTTGATGAAAATTAATTAAAAGAGCATAGTATTAATCTTCACAAAAATATTTCTTTGATTTAATAAATGACTTCATAAATTGAAATTCTTACTAAACGTGTCTATACTATACTACCACTTGAATTTGTTAAAGATTACATTATTATACAAATGTTGCTTTCTACTAATTATATACGCCGCTGTCAGCTGAGAGAAGCTTCTCAAAATTGAAGTTGTTGGAAAATTAATGAAAAAAAAAGAAAAAAATGATTATTTGAATGATTTGACAATTTTATGCATTGAAAAATAGGTTAGAATGCATTGATTCTAAAACTGTTTTATTTATAATTTTGTTTAGTAAATTTTGTGGAGAGCAAAACTAAAAACTGTCTCTTATATCATTTTCTTTTTAGAATAAGTTAGATTTTATTTTTGTTTCAGATCAAACATGCTATATGAAACAACTTTTGGAGGTTAGAGGGCGGAACTGAACAACTTAGAGGGACTTCAAAACCCAAATGAAGAAGATGTGGTGAGATGGAAACAGAAACCAGACAAGTATAAATTGAGACTCAGTTCGAGTGATATATGATATAGAGGAACATCCACAATGTGATTGGGTTCATTCATGCCACGCCAAAATTCTCATTTCTTACTTGGATTGTGATGCACAACAGATTAGCAACGGGAGATCGTATGTTGAAAGCAGAACACAAATGTGAATGCAACTTGTGCTTTATGTCAACATGCTCAAGAGACGCAACAACATCTGTTTTAGAGTTGCATTAATCTGATTACGTAGACTGTATGATTGCTCAAAATATTTTGTAGTGAATTGTGAGAATGTATGCATGATTTACCGAACCTAGCTCCTTAATTTGTTTGTGTGCTCATATTTACGTACATACAAATTCACTAACCCAAGTCAAACTTTGATTGGCATTAATAGGTCTGCTGTTCAAGTTTGCAATAAAGCCATGGCACATGAAAGAAACTTCAAAAAACCTATGATAACAAATCTCTATAATATTATTTGCAAAGTCGTTTTTTGAAAAAGTCGAAAAAGTCAGTGTATTTATGCTTATTGCCACTCAGTTATCGAAGCAAATCTGTTTGGTAACCTGTTTAATTAGGGGTAAATCCGCCGAGTTCACTGAGTTAACTCAGTTAATATGAATCGTTCTATGTCCAAACAAAAAAGTCCATCCCATTAATCCATTTAGAAACACGCGGATCCTCTTCTACTTAAATTAAACCGGTTATGTCACCTGAAATATTGAAGATTTCGAATTGAAAACTTCCGGTTAAGCTAATAGATTTCCAATTGAAAACAGGCGAATATCTGGACCTAAATATATGGCAACTGATTCTGAAATTTCCTTCAATCATTTAAACCGTATCCTAAATTACCGTATAGTATCTAACATTTACTCGATATCCTAACTAAATAATCTTAACAAACCATACCGAACAATATCATAAAATATCAGAATATACTAATCAATCTCCATATTTCTTCCTAATGCAACCTAATCAATCTCATATATCTATCAAGATATATTTTCAACTAATCTGTTTATCTATAATCATGACAGATTTGAAAGATTTTGCTATAATAATAAAATCTCTAAATATCGGCGACTATATTCTTTCAAAAAGATTTTTAATTAACCTAACTGATTACATATAAATATAAGAAAGAGGTAACATGTCGTCTTACCTTCTTACGCTTTCATTTCACAATGGCTTCTAAACTTCCAATAACTCATGTTCAAAATATTAAGCCATTCAAGTCCAGTTGGAGGATTCAAGTCAAAATCCTGCACATTTGGAAGCAATTTGCATTCGCGTCAGGAGAATCTATTGAAATAGTTTTAGTCGACAAAGAGATAATTTATTAGTATATAAATAACTGAAGTCGTTATGATGATGGTAGCTAAAAAATAATTTAATTATTCACAGGGTACAAGAATTCATTGTTCGATTAAGAAACAACACTTGAAGAGATACGACAACCATTTATCTGTTGGAAGCTGGAAATTCATTGAAGAGTTCAATGTTACCAATTCAATTGGACAATACAGGACTACCAAACATTGTTACCGGATTAGTTTTGTTAAAGACACAATTGTCTCTAATTATGTAACCGTGTCAGACTCTGAATTCTTGGACTTGGTACGCTTCAGTCAAATTCATGAAGGAATACAGAATCAGAGCATTTTGTGTGGTAAGTATTTATGTAAAAAATGTCTGCATCAGATTTACACTACATATTCCTAGCCTAATATGAAAGTTTTTTGAAAGATGTTCTCGGCCAGATAGTGAATGTGGGTCAACTGTCTACGATGCATGTCAATAATAAAGAGGCAAAGAAAATTGATTTCGAACTAAGGGATGAGCAGTAAGTATTAGGAAGAAATATGTTTCTTTAAAATAGATTATATGTTTTGTTAATGTTATGCATCGATATTTTCTATTGATATTAATGATTTACATTTCGTTCATGTAAAAACCTAAAAATTGATTCAGTGATATGCGGCTAAGTTGTACCTTATGGGGAAATTTTGCTAATCAAATCCTCGAAGCCACTTCTAAAAGTGAGACTGAAAAATTAATCTGTCTCATTAGATTTGGAAAAATTAAAGAGTTCAGAGGTACACTTTCTACATTACTAACTTCAAAGCTCCACTATTTTCTATTAATTTGGTTTCCTTACTTTGGTTTCGGTGATGTCTATTAACTTCAGACGTAAAAAGTGTTTCCAATGCTTTTGATGCCAGTTTAGTCATTATAAACCCGTCTGGATCACAGATTGACAACTTTGTGCATACGTGAGTTCACATTTTTTTAAAGGATCTGTGATAATGTCATCTTGAATATTTTGTCTATTAATACTTCCTATGGTCTCATGACATTCAAATTTTTATTGCAGATTACCAGATGATGGCTTGGCTCTTACTGTATTGGAAACCAAACCTAAAAAAGAAATTCTGGCAAAGACGGAGGATTACTGGAACCAGTTTCCTATGGTCACTGTGGCTGAACTCAAGGAATTAACCAAGGTATTTATTCAATCATCTATTGCATAATAGGCTATGTATTTAAATGTAGGTAAGAAATATACTTCTTAATAAGGATTAATGAATGTTTTTGACAATTTGTTAGGTCGGCAAAGTAAGGATCATTTGCATAGTTTACGCCATTGACACTGACTGGGGATGGTATTATTTTGGGTGCAAAATCAAAAATCATAAGAAGGTTAGAAAGATCGTGGCAGGAACTAATGGTGTCGTAGTTTTCGGAGGGAAACCTAGGTGGCATTGTAATGAATGCAATAAGACTGTCATTAATGTTGTGCCCAAGTAAGTGAAGTGCCTTCTTTATTGAACCTAGATAAGTCTACGATAATAGTCACGATTTCATCGTTTTCTTATGTCAGGTTCAAGCTGCATCTGAAGGTTATGGATACAATAAGTGAGATTACTATATTGTTATTTGATACATCGGCAAGTGAGATGTTAAATTGCCAAGCATCAGAATTGCTCAACGGATCATTCAATGAGGTATCTAAATTTTATTAACTTTAGATTTAGCATTATATGATACATCAGTCAGTTCGTTGTTAAAATGGAAGTAAATCAGAATTATTTAGTTGTTTATTTACGTGTGTTTTATAATATTATTTTGCTTAGATTGAAAATTCTGAAGAAATCCCAGAAACATTAAAGAACTTAGTCGGAAAAATATTTCAATTTGTTGTTGCTGTTGATAAAGAAAATCTCGGTGGTGGTCACAATACTTTCAAGGTTTCAAAGATTTTGAGTAACAAGGGTATGGTTGAAGATTTAACTGTTGATGATTCAGAGAAGGCAGTGAATATTTCTGAACTGGTTTCTGGTGATGAGGTATATTTATATATTGTAAAGATGCAAATTTATATTCAAATGTGCACAAATTAACCTTAGTCTATTGTTTTTTTACTTAGGGTTTGTTGACTCTTACCAACACAGAGTCAATTATCGATGATGATATTCCTAACCAAGTTACCCCTACTTCAAAGAGAAAGGATGACCCTATAATTGAAGTTCTGGAAGATCAACATTCAGCAAGTAAGAAGCAATGCAAAGTTCAGGTCAAAATTGAGAAGGTTGGAAATGAAAGCAAAAGTGGCTAATGTTGAGTTAGAATTATTTGTTCTAAGTGATTTTTTTGGGTATTTTATTACTTTTTCCTAAGTTGTTCACTGCGTGCTATTGGGACATAAACACATCATTTCAACTCTATTTTGGTTGCTATTATGGAATTTCTGATTCATTACTATTTAATTAGAATTTCTTATTCACTACTATTTAATTGGTTTTTTATGTAACTAATAAGCTGTTCTATATGCCATAAACACATCAGTGTTCTAAATTGTGCAAATTTTACTATCAATAACACTGGTTCAAAAATTAACTAAATACGTTGCAGTACCTAATGCTGAAACTTACCTCATCGTGAAACTTGGACAATGTTGAATCGTATCATGTCTTTCCCAATTTTAAACCAATGCAATCAAAGTTACCTGTCAAAAAAAGGAATTTTGTTAATCGAGATTCATTAAGATTAATAATAGCAACCTATATATATTTGTGTATCAAGTTAACTTACAATATATCCCAGTATATATACGGTCTCAACTCATAGCAGTTATATCATATTCTATTTATGGTTATCAAATATATATATATATATATATATATTGAGAGGCATCAATTACGTCTTTTGAATTGATGTCTTTTGGAAAATCTATATTTTCAATATTGAAATTATGATGCATCGTTTCGATATTATCGAAAACCCTAATCGTTCTTACTCTATATATATGAGTGAAGACCTTAAGTGGTTTTATCACCCGAGACCTATCGTCGAACTCTCTCTTTTAAACCGTTTCTTTTGTTTCAGTTAAGTATGGATGATATTTTTCACAATATCAGGAATTTAAACCAGTGGAGATCTAACTGACACATACGTATCATGGTTTTTAAGTCTTGGGAATCCCAAAATCAAGGTGAAACCGAAGTGTTAAACTTCATCTTTGTCGATGAAGAGGTATGTTTTACTTCGTCAATTTCTATATAGCAGTTTTCTTTTACTAATATGTTTGTATAATGTATAGTTTATTAAAATTTTGTAGGGTAATAAAATTCATGCTATCTGTGATGATCTTCCGAACCAGCCTTATTACAAATCAAAGCTAATTGTTGGTAAATGGTTTAAGTTGCATCATTTTACTGTCGATGAAAGTGATGCAGTTAATCGTTTGGTCGATTGCATGTGGAAAATTCGCCTACTAGACAACACTGATGTGAGGAAAGAGTATAATGTAACCGATGAGCATTACATGAAATTTACAAGTTTTGATGATGTTATTAGTGGAAGATTCAACTGTGACGTACCTGTTCGTAAGTATTTTTGAACTTTTACTACGTTTAATTTTTGTCTACATAATTATTAGTTAACATATGATTATTTTCGTCTTATTTGTCAGATGTGTTGGGTAGGATATCCTTGCTTACAGATATTGTCAAAGTAAAAGATGAGGACTTTAACCTTGTGTGTCCTGCCAACACATGCCGTCTCGAATTTGCTATTCAGAACACACAGTACGTTTGAATTTAATTTGCAGAATTGCTAATTATTTATGATTAATATTTCAACTTCACATAGCTTTAAACTGCATCTCAGTATTATGTGTTCTCTCTTTGTTATTTATTTAAATTTTATTTCACAAGGGGACAAATCTAACTTGCGTTGTTCATGGAAAACTTGCCCTTGAAATTACTAAGAAATGGTGGAATTTCAACTCCAACAATATGGTAGTAATCCTAAGTGATTTTCATGTGGTCAATGTTGGAGGTATGTTGTAAGATATATATGTTGATTTTAATATTGTTTTTTAAATGGTAAACTTATAGCGAGTTATATGTTACTCATTCCATATAGAAAATGTTCGTCTGATTGATGCGGGAGAAGTATCAACAGTTTTATACGATCCAGATATTTATGAGGTCAGAAGGTTCAAGCGTGCATTGTAAGTAATATAAACGTTTAAAAATTTTGTTTTTACATTTTCCCATCTTTGTTTCTTAAAACTATTCACGCTAAAAGTTACTGTTTTTTTCATTCTTTCAGGAAAGGCAATGATGAAGATTCTGAATAGAAGTTTCTAGGGTTTTACCAATTCCTATCATTAGTAAACTTTATTATGCATTTAAATATGTCTACATTTTCTTATGCATTTAAATATGTTAAACAATTTAATATTTTTGTGGATAAGTACGACATTATATTCAGATGATATTAGTTGTTCCTTTCTCGATTTTTCTTTGAGGTTCTGTAATTAACGTTTTTAATAATTACGAAAATGCTAAATCGTGGCAAAATTTATAACCAAGTTATGGAGAGATATGATACCTACAAATCCGTTTTATGGGGGAACCACCTTCTCCACACACTAATCAGGTTGATCTCCATGATGTAATTGTAACCTATAACAATCATATAAATTTGTATTAGTCATTAGTCATATAAATTGTAACTTCCTCAATCATCTAAACGGTAGACCAAAACCTTTTATTATTTTTCTAAGTTGTTCATCGAATGCAACTTTGAATTAAACATAATTGGTTTTTTATGTAACGCAGTTATCTAATTTAGTAGAGATTTTAATTCTCTACAATGTTCTAAATTGGCAATTGAGATTATCAATAACACGCATTCAACATAAAATATGGATATACGATACATACCTAATTCACTTTTTCAGTAACTTTCTCTGTTTTCATGTTTATTCTTCAAACTCCACCTTGGTATTTACATGGAGAATAGTAAACGATTCTTTTGCTGCCAAAAGAAACCAGTTAATGAAAATTTTTTGTTACTTTCAAAATATAATCATGAAAGCTTTTACTGTTTCGACTGAAAATTTTTATATGGGAAAACTTACCGAGAAATGAAACTTGGACAGTGTGTTGTCCTATCACAGCTTTCCCGATTTTTAACAAATGCAATCAAATTTACCTGTCAAAAAAAGGGAATTTTGTTACTCGAGATTCATTAATATCAAGAATATCTACCCATATTTAATTCTGTATCATGTTAACCTACAATATCTCCCACTATATATACATAAACCCATAGCAGTTTTATCACTTAAAAAAAAAAACAACTACCCATTATACTACTAAATTTTCCAAATATTCAAGCAATGTCTGTCTATGACAAAATCATAGATCTTCATCCATGGAAATCTAATTGGAAAATGCGTGTCAAAGTTCACAGAAAATGGAAGACCATTGCGACCAACAGAGAAGAGTCAGTTCATTTCTTATTGGGTGATGAACGTGTAAGTGTGGATCTTATATATTTCAAACAAAATAGCATTTTTTTTAAAGTTCTTATATATTTCTGATATTGATTTAGTTTCACCTCGATACATATCTACTAATTTTAAAGCTTTTTAATTTTACATAATTGATTTAGGGAGACAAAATCCATGCTGTTTGTAACTGGGCGTGGTTGTATGAATATTTCGACAATATCATGCATGAAGGACAGTGGAAAAAAATCAGCAACTTTACCGTTGTTGGTGTCGCTAATGTCCAGCGTTTAACTGACACACAGAAGGAAATTCATTTCCTTGAGAACACAGATGTTAAGCGATCTAACTATGACTCCGGAGAGCACTATCTGTCATTCAAACCATTTGTTGATATCTTTCATCCTGGTGTACACATAAATTTCCCTGTCGATAAGATCTCTAATTAACACTATTATATTTTTGAAAATACAAAGCTCTTTGTTTATGGTTTTAAGATCTACATATAGATATCATGGGGAGAATCACTAATGTCAAGAATCTAGAGTTGGTACATGATGACATTTTTGCAGCTGATTATCCTAAATTGATTGGTCGTTTGAGATTTAGGATCGTCAATAATGAGTAAGTATTTATTGTGACTAATATAAGATATGTTAAGTATACATATTTTATCGCTATTAATATAATTATTTGATTACAGTGATGATGATATCCTATGTACCGCTTTTGGTAAATTGGCTGAAGAATTTAACCATTATTGGCATTGTCTCCAAGATGATCAAGCTGTTTGTGTTTTAACTGATTGGCGTCCTAAGACTATTGAAGGTAAATTTAAAGAATTTTAGTACAAAACACATAGAAAATTTCATCAAACTATTTTATCTAGCACTTTATTTATTACCTAATTTATTATTTATCTGCAGGAGTTACACAACTGGTGGATCAGAGAGGTGTTTCTAGGTTTTTCTTCGATCTTTCAATCCCAGAGGTGTTTGAATTCAAGGAGAACATGTAAGTTATATATCAGTTTTATTAAATAAATCTTAGAGATAATATCTATTTATCATATTGATGTTATACTTATTCAATTTGAAAATATTTTTTCCAGCCCAAAT